GCGTGTGGGAGGGGGGCTTGGAGTCAGTTGGCTGTGTGACCAGCGCGGCGCTGAACGTGACGCAGCTGCTGGACGCAAGCAAGGCCCGCCGCGGGCGCGCGGGGGGCGCTCTGTTCCTGCGAGGCGCCCTCGGCCGGGCCCGCGCGCCCCGCGGCGCCGCCCCGGCCGCGGCGCCCCGCCGCCACCCCCGCCGCCGCCCCCGCTCGGCGCAGCGCTTTGGCCGCCGCCGCCGCCGCCACCGCCCACTGCCGCCCTGTCCGCCGCTCGTCGAGCAGTCACCGAGAGGGCTTCGCGGCGCGCAGCGTCGAGGCCGCCATTTCAAGGCGCTCGCTAGTGCCATGTTTACCGCCGTCAAACAAATTCCAGCTTGCCCACGGCGAATCTGCCTACACAAATGCGTCTTTTCCTCTGGGGCTCACTGAACTTCAGGAAAATAGTGAAGGCTCATTCACATATTCTTTCCCTCACGCACCAATCTTATGTGCCATCCTCATTACCCACTCGGTTTCATTTTGGCTCTGTTGTGAAACGATATCATCTTACGTCACAAGAAAAAGAAATTTCGTTATATAATATGATGTTTAATTGCTCAGAACACTGTTTTTAAAGCTAAGGGTGTTTGACAATGTTATCGATTGATGGACTTACTATTTTGAATAGTAGTACTTCAACTGGACGTACTTTGTTCGCACTCTAGGAACTCCGCGACGTAATATAATACCGCAATCTCGCATGTAGAAACCGCTTCTCAATCATCATTGTAAAAAACTCATTACAAATCGTAGAACAGGTGCGAAAAGAATTATTTATAATAAACTTAAAATTCCAACTCAAAGTAAACAAAAAACTGCCTATACATTTTTTTCGAACTGCTTACTTTCGACAAAAAGAAAGTTTCAGACTTCTACGAAATGCAAGACCTACGCCATTTCATTATAATACTTTTCCTCCATTAGGGGAAGAATCCCACACGTAACACTCTCACATACAATAACTCTCTCTCTTACGCACAACACACTCACACAAACTCTTAGTTTGCGTGAATTTGAGGCAATCCTGGGCCGTTTGCTATTGGCCTCTAATAGACCACAGAGGCTCCCTCGTGACAACGGTGGACTTTAGTTGCGTGGGCCGTGAGTAGCTAGGTGACAATGCCCGACAGAATCGAATTTTCCTCCTGAGAAGTATTTGTGACACCAGATAGACGCCTTCTGCAGAGCATGGCATAGCATCTGTGATGAACATACTTTTATGCCGTTAGCTTGTTGAGAATTGAGTATCATGCGAGAGTCAATTTAACACTATACTCACTCGACCACCAGCTATTCTATAAGAGGTACAAAATCAAATAAGAGGAAATTGTTGCGTCCGAGAGTGAAGGTGATAGGAATGGAAAATCAAAGTTGACGATCAATTTTACTCCGCCTTTGAGCTAATTTTACCATCAGGATCGAGGAGACAAAGATGGCAATTTAGGAGGTGAACAGCCGGGAGCGTGTGTTGCTATGCTCAGAGGAGGAAACAACCACCTAGTTTAGAAGTTTACTGCATGGAAACCAAGGCAAGTCTCAGCGGCTCGAATCTGCGCGGAGTTCATAGAGGATTGTGACTTTATTTCCACACCTCTCCGACCAGCATAACGAACATCATTAATGCAAATTCATAACAGAAATGGATATACCAGTCACTAGGATGAGCTACTAAATGCAACTGCATAATTGACAATGATGCGCTGAAGTAGTATCCTCCACGATTTCCTCAGAATTGCAATATCGCCTCGTTGTTTGAAGTCTTCGCAGGGTAAAAAGCCTCCTGAAGACCTTGCGTCTTACCACCCTCTGCATATGCTTCGAATCCTGCCGTAATACTTCGAGCATATCATTAACTCGTGATAGGAAGAGACTAGAAAAAAAAGAGGCACCCTCAGAAAAACCATATGGCTTCCTCAAGCTCACGCACAGTCGACCTTGTTCTTTTTGGTCTGTTACACTGCCCGCTATGCCATTAAAATGAACCAGATGGAAAAAGAGATCCAAAAAGTTACGATGTGCGTAAGTAACATGGATATTGACTTTTAGGCTCCCGCGTAGGAGAGTGCATTCATAAAGCACTTCACGCGAATCGATGCCCTACATTCGTTGAGAGGATATTGACTGAATACCCTCAACACAGAATTCTAAACTGTAGTACTTTACGGGATATGGACGAAGGTACACAACCCCACGGTGTCCACAAGTTCGGTGCTGGGTCCACTGCTGTGGCCAGTTATCATCATTTGACGAGGGTTCTTAGGTCCCAGCCCAGAAGAAACCCAAAGGAGCATATACTTCGATTTAAAATGAGAACAAGACATAGTATAAAATGTTTGTCCTGCTTCACAGAAGCTAGTCCCAACCTCTGTGAAGCGTCTCTAAACTCTGACGCCTAACCTTAATTCCTTCCCATTTTTGGCTGCTTGTAGTACGGCAGAGGAGCGCGTGTGAGAGGACACATCTTCGGAGATGCTACCTGGCAGTCCTCTTGGTTAAACTGAACAAGACACAAGGACAACGGTTTAAAACATAGTTTAATGGAAGGATTACTGACAACTAGTGTAAAGTATATTTAATCGAGATTACTCAATAAAACGCTCTACGCCAAAGTTGTCGCAGTAAGGACTGTAGTTCACAATAACTGACAGAATTTTCCCACAACAACCAAAAGGATGCCGAAAACAAGATAAAAGTGATGCCTAATTACTAACATGACAGAAGAGAAGTTTATCACTCTCAAAAGCTCCGTCATCTCAAAATTTGCATTGTTACTTAAGAAACCACTTGGACTCTCACCGCCAAAAAAAGTACGTGGAGCGTTGCTTGCGTTGACTAAGGTAATCTCCAGCACACGTGCAGCATGCTAATCATGAAGGTGTGAGCTTATCGCTCTTCCAGATTGGTTTGCTGCTGTGGATTGCTCTGTTGGGCCATCTCTCCAGAATACGTTAAAATATATCCGGCCATAATGCCGCTCAGGTTTCATGTCTGTTGCAAGTCCGGCACCGTCTCAAATGATCAGTCGTTATGTTCAATCATCGTAAGAGCATGAATCGCCTTTGTAAGATGGCTACTAAGCTGGAGGTAGTAGAGGCGTTTCTTATGACAAAAGAACGGGAAAGTAAACTGCTTGAACAACCCAGCAGGATGCGTAGCAGCCAATGGAAAGTGGCGCTCTCCTACTGGACTGAATGTTGACCAGTTATGATTGTGTGTCAGTCAGAAGCACATGTAGAGTAAATTTCTCAACCACTCTTTCTGATAGTAGCGTAGGATCCACAGATCTCTTTTCACAGATTTTATTTTTGCAATAATAAATGGAATATTAAGTAATAAATGGAAAATTAGGGGAACAAGTAAATAAATTTTCATTCCTTGGAACCTTCATAAGTGTATGCAACCAAATTATGGAAGACATAGAAAACAAACTTAATAACTACAGTAGAATATGTGGAACTATCAAGAGACACTTTGGTAGACACAAAACTGAAACTCCACAATATAGCTGCTAAACCTAGAATCATGTATGGCTCTAAAACATGGGTAATGAAAGAGAGAGACAAACAAAAACTACAGGCAGCACGTGTGAGATTTCTAAGACACCTTATGGGAATCACAAGAAGAGACATACTAAGAAATAAAGACATCAGAAAGAAATTGAAAACCAAATATTTAGTAGAAGAGATAGAACAGTCTCAAAGAAGATGGAAAGATCATTTACAGAGAATGAACAACAATAGATTTTCAAAGTTAATCTGGAAGTACAAACCAATAGGAATCAGAGGTAGAGAGAGCCTGCTAAAGAGGTGGCAACAACAGGAACACTTGGAACACTAAGAATTTACCAAGAATACTTTAATTAACCAATAGAAACAGGCTATAGAACCTCATTTCTGGTCAGTTCATGATGATGATTTTTGCAATAACTGTTATAGCTTTCCCTAGTGGTGTGTAACTAAATATTTGAGGTGTATGATAACTGTGGAAATGATGGAGGAATATTTTCCTTTGTGAGTGGGAAGATTGTGGTATTTTCAGTTCCACATGAACCATAAACTCAGATTCTTATAATTAGGGATTGATTTTTAATAATGTAAAACATCATCAAAAATGATTAAAAAAATGAGTTTTGATAAGTGTGCTTAATCATTTTTGATGATGTTTTACATTATTAAAAACCAATCCCTAATTATAAGAATCTGAGTTTATGGTTCATGTGGAACTGAAAATACCACAATCTTCCCACTCACAGTAGTTTGCCAACATTTATCAATGAGAGCCATATAAGTGAGGAATAGAGCCAAGATTCTTTCTGAAATTATCTATCTTTTAAACCTCCTTTACTGTAATACTATTCCAAATATTCATGGAGTCTTTCTTGATGTAGTCTTTTCTAGTACCCCAGATGTACTGTGTACTCATGCAAGCATCACAATTGTATCTATAAATGATGATTGTCCTATTTTATTAACAAAATTTGATAAAAGTTCAAATGGTTTCATGATTTTTTTATGCATAGTTTTCTAAAATACTAGTCCTTCAGAGCATATTCCATGGCTCAGACAGAGGAAAGGGTGTTTATGGAATGTTGGTTCCTAGGTTTAAATTCCATCCTAATATGTTGTCAATTTGCTGGTTGCTGGTTGTAAATTTGAGCAGTTTCAACTGGTATTATAATTTAATGTAACCCTTACTATAAGATGAGAAAGTATGTGCATTACCACTAGTTGGTCTTGTGTCATCAAGTTTTCCATATGGCTTTGTTATAGGTTAATATACATATGCTTAGCATTGCATAGATTTGCTTAACTTTATACAAATGGAGAAAGTAAATTATTTTGCATTATTAAAATATCACAATGCATACTTTTTTGTTAGCAATGGCAACTCCCTAATAATGTGTGAAATTTGTGTGACGGTTTGGTTAAGATGTTTTCAGTAGTTTGTAAATTAAAGTTCATGTTGCAGATGCTGGTCTGGCTGGCCTAGGAAAAGCCGTTGTCAGAGGAGAAGCTCCTGGCAGTGCAAGAGTGTCTCTGACAGCCTCCCCAGCTGGCACAGTGGCAGAGGAGGCTGTGGCTTTGCTACGAGCGCTCCATACTCTTCCCTCGTGGAATCATGCTCTTAACACAGTCTTAGCTAATAAGCTGGCAGCAGCTGGTGAATTTTTGGCTGATGGCCCACTTTTCCGCTTGCAAGTAAGTGTATATACAAGATTACAAGACATTAAAATCATGTGTCCTCTTTGGGAGTCTCTTAAACTGTTTCTCTGTGTATTTAGCTGAACGAGCCTCCTGTTCTCGTGCATGAAGCAGCTGCGATGGCAGCGCTGTGTGTGGTGGGGGGAGCAGACCCACGGCCGCGCCTCGGGGGCACCGTGTTGTTGCCTGATGGTGCAGGCCCTGCCACTGTTGCCCAGGTACGTCCCTCTTCCGCTCTGCAAACGGCTCTAACTGCACAAATATTGTAAGTTCCCAGGCAGAGAAGTGAAGTTTCATGTGAGAATGTGACTAGAGCAGAGTTCGTACTGCTGATCAGTCGAAGACATGCAAACAGTTCTGTTCACTGTATTTTTCTGATTATAAGACCCCGCCCCCTCATTAATTTTTTTTATTTTTATCTTTTTCAAAATCGACACAGAAAATGAAAGACTGATATGTATCTCAAACTTAAGCGTAATGATTTTTGAATAATTTTGGTGGTGTGTCCTCTCTCTCTCTCGTTATCCTCTCCCTCTCTCCTCTTGGCCTGCTCTCTCTCTCTCTCCTCCCTACTCTTCTCCTCCTACTCTCTCTCTCTCCCCCGCACGCCCCCCCGTGTCTCCCTCGCTCTCCCTCTCCTCCCCTCTTGCATCCTCGCTCACCTCTCCTCCTGATCTTTCTCTCTTCCCCATGTCCTGACCTCTCCTCTCTTCTTCTATCCTTTTCTTCTGTATCTTCTTCTCTCCGATCCTTCTCATCCCCTTCAAATCACGCCCCCTTATCCAAAGCCTCCCCTCGCTCTCTATCTCACTACCATCTCCGCCTCCTCATCTCTCCCTCCTCTTCTCTCCCCTCTCTCCTCATCTCTCATCTCTCCTTCCTCTCGCCTCTCTCTCTCCCTCTCCTCTCCCTCTCTCTCTCCCTCTCCTCTCTCCTCTCTCTCCCTCTCTCTCTCCCTCTCTTCCTCTCTCTCTCCCTCTCTCTCCTCCCTCTCTCTCCCCTCTCTCTCTCCCCTCTCTCCTCTCTACCCTCTCCTTCTCTCTCCATCTCCTCTCCTCTCTGTCTCTCTCCTCTCTCTCTCTCTGTCTCTTCTCTCTCCGTCTCTCTTTTTTTCCCCTTCTTCATTCTTCAAAAACAATGAACAAACGGACCATACATGTTTCTGTCCACAGCATACCTGCCTATATTTCGTAGCGCCCAGTGACTATGGAAATTGCGGTAATTAGAAGTTTTGAAGTAAATTATTGCCAACATAATTAACATGCAATGTTACTCGTTGCTATATTAATATTTGCAAACTTCTCAAAGCAAAGTGTTCTGAAAATCCCATTGAATAGAACAAAACCGCTCATTCCCTGACGAGCGATGCGAGCGATTCGTGGCGAATGCTGGGAAGCCACGCCTTCGCAGGTGACGGCGCGCGGGCGCCTGTGGTGCAGCCGCACGGGCCGCCGCCGGCGCGGCGCGCGCCGCGTGGCGCTGGCCTCGCGCTGCCCGCGCCCGCCGCGCGCCGCTTCTGCCTGGACGCGCGCGCTGTCGGAGCGCGCGCTGGACGCGTGGGCGGCGCTGGTGGCGCTGGCGCTGCACCCGCCGCCACGGCGCCCACAACGCCCACACCCGACGCCGCCCCCCGCCGCACCTCCACGTGCCCGGTGAGCGCTTTTTATGTATTCTATTCAGGATGTAAATGAGCGTTCCACTGCAGGAATTGATAAGGAAGTATTTGCGCCTGTCTAATAAATAACTACTTACAAAGGAAACTAGAGGTGCTAAAACAGCACATAGTGTCTCGACCTTAGTAATGCATACGTAATACTATTTATAACAGCAATGTTACTCCAAAATACATCTCGCTTCTCATTTTTTGTAAAACTCAAATTTTCCAAACATTTTACATCATCTTATTCAAAATCTGTCTTTAAGGAACAGGTTTTATTAAGGGAAAAAATATCTCTTTATTAGTTTAGTTGTAGGAAGACGTCAAAAACGTTTGGAACTTTTTTTCGAAAAATCAGGGTTTTCAATGAACATAATACCGACCCCATGATCTTAAACATCCTTCACACTATCCAATAAAGTTCAATCAAAAACATTGGAGCCTTTTTTTTTAAATTGAAAATGTCCCAGTGATTCATGTTAAGTACCCCCTAAATTAAAATATCGATTTCAAATTCAAGGAGCCATGATATCTGCTAGATTAATTGGGAAATTTCACTTTTGGAGAAAATCATCTGAACAGTTTAGCCAGCAGCGTTGTTTACAAACCGACAAACACATGTTTTGCCACATGGAAAAAAAGAACAGTTGCAGTATACCAATTCCATGATACTGTAACTTTGTAAGATACTGTAACCCTTGTTACGAGTACAGAACCATAGATCTGGTATACTGTAACTGTTCTTTTTTTCCATGCGTCATTCTATTTTTCAGTATGAAGGACAAAAAGGTGAAGCATTGATTCTGGCTACACCATGTGTTCAAGAATCCCCCCTCCCCACCCCTAAATTTAACAACTACATATATCCACATTTTCGTTACCAGGGCCCGGCAATACGTTTTCCTGTGAAACTTCACCTTTTTTTCGTGCATCATCACGTAACTTTCTCTTCTTAAGAAGTACCTTCTTAAGAGCGAGAAAACAAAAAGTTACAGATTTTGTCTATTATTCCTCATTATCCTCTTCATGAAGGAAATGACTTACAGTGGTAAGAATATTAGTTAAAATAAATCTCACTGAAGTCTAAAAATCAGACACAGATAGTGAAGTTTCATGTATGTCCAGAAGCAAAACGGCCATCTCATTACAATTAACATTTTTCATCTTAGAAAAACTTTTTTTGTGTAGACATTTTACACTTAAACATGTACGAGAATACTTTAGGTTGCATTGTTTGATAGGTTTTTTTGGGGAACTTATACGAAACGGGATTTTTTCTGAGGTTTCATGCCGAACAGCAAGGAAATGGTTGTTTTGGAGACGTCCTCAATAGCCGTCTCCCTCCACGGTGACGTGGGTCGTGTGTAGAAAAATCTCGCGTGAAGGCGGCTCCACACTTTCGACATTCGCCGAGCAGCGAGCTACTGCTCGCCCAATCCCCAACAGCGGATTGTCCGGCGAGTGTTCGCTTCCTTTGATGTGTCGAAAGACTGACACGCGGTGGTTAGGGCGAGCACCGCATCTTCGTCACTCGGCAAATAGCAAGCAACTTATCCGCAGTAGTTGGGATTCCGCGAGCGGTTGGTTGCTCGCTACTCGCCGAATACCGAATGTGTGGAGCTGCCTTGATGTCGCAGACGTCTTTCGAATGTGTGGAGTCGTCTTGATGTCGCAGACGTCTTTCGAATGTGTGGAGTCGCCTTGATGTCGCTAATGTCTTTCGATTGTGTGGAGTGTTCGCTTCTCGGCGAATAACGAATGCGTAGAGCTGCCTTGATGTCGCTGTTGCTTTCGCTGGTTCGCGGTGCGCAGGCGCTGTGAGCCCCCCGCTGCTGCGCGTGCAGCAGCTGCGCCTGGCGGCGATGCGCGCGGTGGGGGAGCTGCTGGCGCACCAGGGGGCGCTGCGGCGCGTGCTGCGCCACCCGGCGCTGGACGCCGCCGCCGCCGCCGCGGTCTCCTCCTCCTCCGCCTCCTCGCTCGAGGCCCTTAACGAGGACGAGGACGTGGACGACGAGGACGACGACCCGGACGACGAGGGCGCGGGCGGCGGCGGGGCGCCGCGCCACCACAGCCGCGCGCCGCTCCTGCGCACGCCTCAATCCAAAGCCACGCAGCCTCCGCCGCTCAAGGCCTCCTTCGCAAGGCGGACCTCGAGGTAGGCCTCGGCCACACGCCCCTTCGCGGCGAATGGAGTCTCCTCTTTAGACAAGCGATGGGCTCCTGCGTAGACGCGCACGTTGCAATAACGTTTCCTTGCTACTCGTGGGGCGCGCGGGTGTTGGAGGGGGCTGGAGTGGTGCTGTGTGCGCAGACGCGGCGCTGAACGTGACGCAGCTGCTGGCGCAGCAGGCGCGCGGGCGCGCGGGGGGCGCTCTGTCCGTGCGGAGGCGCCCTCGGCCGGGCCCGCGCGCCCCCCGCGGCGCCGCCCCGCCGGCGCCCCGGCCGCGCCCCGCCGCCGCCCCCGCCGGCGCAGCCGCTTGCCGCCGCCGCCGCCGCCACCGCCACGCCGCCGCTGTCGCCGCTCGTCGAGCAGCTCACCGAGATGGGCTTCGCGCGGCGCAGCGTCGAGTGCGCCATCAAGGCGCTCGGTGAGTGCGATGTTTACGCCTGTCAAACGAAATCCAGTTGCCACGGCGAATCGCCTACGCAAATGGCGTCTTTTCCCTCTGAGGCTCCACTGAACTCAAGAAAATAGTGAAGGTCCAGTCACATATTCTTTCCCCCACGCACAATCTTTGTGGCCATCTCATTACACTCGGTTTCATTTTGTGCTCTTTGTAGAAACGATATCATCTTACGTCACAGAAAAGAAATTTCGTTATATAATATGTGTTTAATTGTTCAACACTGTTTTAACTAATGGTGTTGACAATTGTTATCGATTGATGATTACTATTTTGAATAGTAGTACTTACAACTGTACGTACTTGTTCGCACTTAGGAACTCGTACGTAATATAATACCGCAATCTCGCAGTAGAAACGCTTCTCAATCATCACTTGTAAAACTCATTACAAATCGTAGAACAGGTGCGAAAAGGAATTATTTTAAAACTAAGAAATTTCAACTCAAAGTAAACAAAAACTGCTATACATTTTTTCGACTGCTGTACTTTCGACAAAGAAAAGTTTCAGGGACTTCTACGAAATTGCGACCTACGCCATTTCTTTATAATACTTTTCCTCCATTAGGGGAAGAATCCACACGTAACACTCTCACATACAATAACTCTCTCTCTTACGCACACACACTCACACAAACTCTAGGTTTGGTGAATTTGAGCAATTCCTTGGCCGTTTGCTTTGGCCTCTAATAGACACAGCTCCCTCGTGACAACGGTGGACTTTAGTGCGTGGGCCGTGGAGTAGGCTAGGTTGACAATGCCCGACAGAAGTCGAATTTTCCTCCTGAATGAAGTATTTGTTGACACCAGATATACGCCTTCTGCAGAGATGGCATAGCATCTGTGATGAACATTACTTTTATGGCCGGTAGCTTGTTGAGAATTGGAGTATCATGGAGAGTCAATTTACACTATACTCACTGCGACCACCAGGCTATTCTATAAGAGGTACAAAATCAAATAAAGGAGGGAAATGTTGGTCCGAGATGTAAGGTGATAGGATGGAAAATCAAAGCGTTTGACGATCAATTACTCCGCCTTTGGAGCTAATTTTACCATTAGGGATCGAGGAGACAAAGATTGGGCAATTTAGGAGCTGAACAGCCGGAGCTTGTGTTGCTATGCTCAGAGGAGGAAACAACCACCTATGTTTAGTAGTTTACTGATGGAACCAAGGCAGCTCAGTGGCTCGAATCTGCGCGAAGGTTCATCTGAGGATTGTGACTTTATTTCCACACCTCTCCGACCAGCTAACGAACATCATAATGCAAATTCATACAGAAATGATACTACCAGTCACTAAGGATGAGCTACTAAATGCAAACTGCATAATTGACAATGAGGCTGAAGTAGTATCCCCCACATTGCCCTCAAGAATGCAATATCCGCTCGTTGTGAAGTCTTCGCAGGGTAAAAAGCCTCCTGAAGACCTTGCGTCTTACCACCCTCTGCATATGCTCGATCCTGCCGGTAATACTTTCGAGCATATCATTAACTCGTGATAGGAAGAGACTAGAAAAAAAGAGCACCCTCAGAAAACCAGTATGGCTTCCTCAAGGCTCACGCAACAGTCGACCTTGTTCTTTTTGTCTGTTACACTGCCCGGCATGCCATTAAAGGAACCAGATGGAAAGGAGATCCAAAAAAGTACTGTGCATAAGTAACATTGGATATTGACTTTTAGCTCCGCGTAGGAGAGTGCATTCATAAAGCACTTCACCGAATCGATGCGCCTACATTCTTGAAGAGGATATTGACTGAATACCCTCAACCACAGAATTCTAATGTAGTACTGTACGGATGATGGACCGAAGGTACACAACCCCACCGGTGTCCCACAAGGTTCGGTGCTGGGTCCACTGCTGTGGAGTATCATCTATGACGAGGTTCTTAGGCTCCCAGTCCCAGAAGAAACCAAGAGCATATACTTCGATTAAAATGAGAACAAGACATAGATTAAAATGTTTTTGCCTGCTTCACAGAAGCTAGTCCAACCTCTGTGAAGCGTCCTAAACTCTACGCCTAACCTAATTCCTTCCCATTTTTGGCTGCTTGGTAGTGACGCAGGAGCGCGTGTGAGAGGCACATACCGGAGATGCTACCTGGCAGTCCTCTTGTAAACTGACAAGACCAAGGACGACGTTTAAAACATAGTTTAATGGAGGATTACTGCACTAGTGTAAAGTATAGTTTAACGGAGGATTACTCAAAAAACGCGCTCTACGCCAAGTTGGCGTAAGGACTGTTGTCACAGATAACTGACAGAATTTTCCCACAAACACAAAGGATTGCCGAAAACAAGATAAAAGTGATGCCTATACTAACATGAAGAAGAGAATTTATCACTCTCGAAAGTCCGTCATCTCAAAATTTTGCTTGTTCTTAAGAAACCACTTGGACTCTCACAGCAAAAAAGTAGCGGTGGAGCGTTGCTGCGTTGACTAGGTTAATCTCCAGCACAGGCAGCATGGTCTAATCATGAGGGTGTGCTTCGCTCTCCAGATTGGTTTTGCTCTGTGGATGCTCTGTTTGGGCCATCTCTCCAGATACGTTAATATATCGGCCATATCCGCTCAGGTTTCATGTCTGTGCGGCACCGTCTCAAATGAAGCAGTATGTGTCATCACTAGGATGATCCCTATTGATATGATGGCCTGTGAGTAGTAGAGGCGTTATGACAAAAGAGACGGAAAGTAAAACTGCTTGGAACAACCAGCAGGATGGCAGCAGCAATGGGAAAGTGGGCCTACTGACTGATTTGCACAGTTATATTGTGTGTCAGTCAGAAGCACTGTAGAGTAAATTCTCACACAGTTTCTGATGAGACGTAGTCCACAGCATTCCTTCACAGGTTCACCTTCACCACCTATCCTCGTAAAACAAAACAAAAAATCCCTACTAGTACACACATACACGCGTGCACTCACACAATCACATGCATGCACAGTCATGCACACACACTCACTCATAAACTCTCACTGATCTTTTGGCTTTTAAAATATTTATTTTCATTTATTTCACAAACCTATTGATTTCTTACAACTTTTGAATGGCTTGTTATCCATATGTTTAGTGTTTCATCCACCTAATGATGAATGTATTCATTTTCATTGTTTCATTAGATATGTAAACATATGAATTGTGATATTTTATTGCATTGATTAATATATCTGTATTCTTAGCCGTAAGTATTTTGTGAATTGTATTCTTTTGTATTGTACAGGAGTGGCTAGTGATGTGCCTCCCAGTCCTGAAACACTAGTGGGTTGGTTGTTGGAACACCCTGAGCAACCTCTATCTTCATCAGACACAGCATCTTCCTTTGATCCTCTTTCTGAGACAGACTCCATTTCAGAGGATGCAGATGATTTTGGATCCTCTCACGCAGATGGGGTAAGCCCTCTTCAGACTTTTTGTCTATTAATCACAAATATCAGTGAGTAGCGTGCAATTTCACTGCACTTATGTGTTTTTTTATTTTCTAAATGCATTTTTTTTATCATTTATTTATTTATGTTATACCTTGTAAACTATTTTTTAAATAGTTCTGTAATTTATGAACAATAGTTAGTCGTAGAGATTATGAACCATGGTACATAAGTTGATGTTTTTCACTTGTGCCATTCAAACTTACATCCTTTGGAAGATCATAATTTATACCATATTTTGAGTCTTTCAATTATGGTTAACTTCTCTCAACAGTTGCAAGCATGAAAGTACTTCTTCGAAACATTTTAGTATTTAGTTTATACAATCTTCAATGTTTAATTTAGATGTATAACTCGTATTCGTTTTTTTTTTTTTTTTTTTTTTTTTTGCAAGCATGTTGTTGTTGTTGGTTTTGTTGGTACCATGAAATTAATAGTGGCAAAAAAATACTGATGTATTCCAGATGAAGACAAGGAATTTTATTTTCTAATCACTTGAATAACTTCATATCGCAGTACAATCATATCTTGAATACTTCATATCGAGTACGAATCATATCTTGAATACTTCACTTTTTTCTATGCACTGAATTATTTTTATTCACATTTAGTTATGCATAGAGCTTCACTGCACTGTAAATTCTCAATTCACAGGGCCCCTCTGGTGCGGGTTATAATCAACGCCGAGACTTCTTAAGCAATGATGAATATGCCATGTATGTTCGAGACCACATTGCAGAGGGCATGCTAGTGCGCTGCTGCCGCACTTATGAGGAAGTGCATGAAGGAGATGTAGGTCGAGTGCTCAAAGTTGACAGTGAAGGTCTTCATGACCTCAATGTGCAGGTGAGAGTGGATAGCTGATGATTTCTTCCCATTTTCCCATTTGTGTTATTAGTGTTTAAGTATCTTCAAACATTCAAGTCTTTAAATGTTGATCTCCCCAATTCTGAATTCTATATTATTTATTTTTTTTATAAATCTTCTTGTACTGAAGCCCCTCTCTTACATACCTGGACTAATGTCTTCCTGGGTAATTTTTCCCAGTCCTTTCCCCCTTATGTTTACCATGTAGAATTGTTCCTGCTTTTAAACTTTTGAACTTAAAATTTCCCACCTTTTGTACTTTTTTCCTCTGTATGTGCAAATACAATGAAGAATGGAATCAAAGGAGGATTGAACGTATATAATTTAAAGAATCACTTCGATTTAAGTCAGTGCGATTTTAGTGGGCAAGTTTTGAGTATGTGTATTTCAAGCTAGACGGTTAATTTTCCAGTGAGTTAATTTTTACTTTCTCGCCTTACTTCTGTAAGAAAAAACCTTATGGCAATTGTGCACCACAAATTGGTGATTTTTCGACAGGAAAAACTCTTTTTGCCAGCCCCTAGTAATGAAAAATTGGATAATCTTAACAAGTTTCTTTATATTATCACATCAATCTAGGCCATTTCAGGATTCCATTAACATACTGACAGTCATGCATTTACAAGATAACAGTTGGATTAAAATTGGTAATGAGGATGTGACTTAAATATTGGATAAATCTTGTTCCTATATGTAGGTAATACTTCCGCTATCACATTATAAAGTCTGAATGCGTTTTGTGGGTCATTGATACTGAAAAATTGATTGACGGCATCTGCCTGTGCATCAATGTTAGGTCCTAAACCATTTGTATGATTTTCCCAAAAAATGATATTCTCTGATCAATGCGAACAAACTCGAGTCCCTAAGAGTTTGAAATAGAGATTTTGATTTTGGGTGGTACTAGATATAAAGTCTTTACAATATATACAAAATTTTCTCAAAATTGCCTCTAAATTTTTTGATTAAACTTTGGTCTTGTATAACGTAAAGAACTCTTTAAAAAATGGAGTGTGTTTGATTTTCGTGACATTCTCTGATTTTTTGAAAATTCCAAAAGTTTAAAATTGATCAGTGCCTTCTTTCAACTATTGCAATTATTAATATTGCAAAAGTACAATATCGAAGATAAAGAATTTTGTCATAAATAAAATATGTTCTAAAAAATAAGTTCTTTTAACAATATTATGTACAATTTTTTAAGAAAAAAAATAGTATTTTCTGCTTGGAGTTGCAAATAAAGAAACACATTTTCACCAAGACAGCTCCAAATTTTTTCTTTACTTTTTTTTTGCAGAACAAAGGACATTTAAAATACTGACTCATGTCTCCATTTCGTTGAACTGTGAATTTTCAAAAATTGAGGATCAAAACAATTGAAATATTTGAAGCATAAAAAAGAAAATGGAAAAATTGTATTAACCCAGGAGTGCTCGCAATATATCTGTTAGATCCAAGCACTGGAATTTTATGTTCCTGAATCATTGTGATGCATTAGTCATCTGATATTTCATGTATTTCTTCATTGAATTCTTCTGTAAACGCCTGACCTTCTATTTTTATACTTTCATTGAATAATTTCCCGTGACCATGTTGAAACTTCATTGCTGCACTGTGCGACATCTGTGAAATATGTTGCGTGTAATAGCACCAATGCATTCTGAGCTGGCGTAAGCAGTATGTGCCATGGCATTATTTTCAGCCACATCTTTGAGAAGTGCCAACAAAAAATGTAATCAATTGTCTGAGATCGACTGTCACTATTTCTTAACAAAGAGAAAGATGATGTGCAGGGGATGTCTGTAAGGAAAGGAAAAAAAATTGCAAACCTTGCAAAACGGAAACAAGACAGACTTTCGAAATATGTTTGTGAAAAATGTAAAATATATGTTTGTTTAGAACATGCCAAAATCATTTGTGGAATTTGTATTTAATACATAGGTATTATTTAATAAGATGTTGAATGATGATATTTGCTTTTATCAATTTTTTCTGCAGTGTAGGATTCATTAACAATGGCATTAGGGGGTATGCACAAACTAAATAAAATACATATTTCAGTAAATAGAGCTTTAGATCATTTGCATTCACAAAAAGTTGCAGCTATATCTGATGGACACTGGCGCGAGTCTACCTATTGTGGGCACTCCCAGGTTACGAAACTGGTGGCTAATATGTGAATACGATGAGAAGAAGAACTAAACTGATATGGCAAGATCAGGAATACCTTTAATAACTAAGCAAATTTACTTAAAAGGAACAAGTCTCACAGACCTAATCCTGAACTGATGATGATGAAGAAATTATATGTCATCTTCTGTTTTCAAAACTCTGTGACATATTTTAATGTTTTTCAGGTTGATTGGCAGCATAAAGGATCTACTTATTGGGTGCGATTTATCCATGTAGAATTACTTGGCTATCCCCCTGCTCTCCCAGGACCACCACCTATTAAAGTTGGTGACCGGGTACGAGTAAAACCGTCTGTTCGCAATCCAAAATACAAATGGGGCTCTGTTACCCATGGAAGTGTAGGAGTTGTTACAGGTATGTTCTGGTGATACAATAATAAATCTTTTCTTTCCGAAATATGTAAAGAATTATAATATTTTCTTGCAATACGTACATGCAATTTCCTTATCAAAAGCAATTGGTGGTAAAAATTTTTCAAGTATAATCTTTTTAAGGTGAGGATTTTAAGGGCGTTTTATTAATACTTTTTTTGTGATGTTTTAAGTCATTAAAATCACATTTTATCCTATGCTCTAGAAAAATTTTAATAGATGAAAGACTTTCTCCTAAAAATGAGTTTGTTCTATGTCCTGGTTTGGACATGGTTGTCAAATATCCTCTTGTTAAACATTCCCCCTCGTTTGGGCACACTTTCGCTATGACACAGTCTTAAGAAATTTGACTGTTTTTTCTGAGATAATTTTTGCCGATACTTCACCATTGCGAGGCACAGAATATTGTAACTGTGGCAGGGTTCGTGACTCAGCCCAAATGTTGCCACGGATTTTCGTCAGAAGGCCACGGGAGCCGCTGGCCTGGTGACTGCTATCTTTGACAGCCAAACCGATGGCGACTCCCTTGCACTTGAGGCAAGAATCACAATTTGCCCAGATAGCTCCACGAACCCAATCCTACACAAATTTGAGGTGAGCTCGAATCAGGGCGGGTTTATTTATAAGGGTTGCTAGGCTAAGGAAATTCAAAGGGGTGTACCTGGTTTTGAAATGACATGGCACGTAGTCCAAACATATTTATTAGCAGACAAAAGAAGCTAGGTCCGCGGTCGCTGCAAAGTTAGTGCAGTTGAATTGCTGGTGCGGTGTCACAAAGAACCGGAATGAATAGTTTTGGTTCCGCAGCCACAGTTTGATTCCTCGATTCCTGTCGTGTTCGGAGTTCGACATGTCCGATCTTTCGTATACGTCTTTGGCTTTGTCCATCTCTCCACCACTCACGTCAGTCCTAACATTTCCATATGCTTGTCCAGACCGCAAATCTACCGGGCACCTCTGACTCTGCCTGCTCCCATACAGTTATCTCACCAATAGGTCCGAGCCCGCTCACTCCTGCCTCTCTAACCAACACATTTGCTTTCACTCGCTCTCTGTATGTTTCTGTCTGTCTGTCTTTCCAGGCTCATGTCTGCACTCGTCTCCCCCCTCGTCATGTGTTCAGTGTAGTTAGTCTCATTGTGTCAGTGTCAAATGAAGTCGTCATGATTCGTCCATTTGGTCCCGTACAAGGTGAATCCCGGATTGTTCTTTACTTGGGCGTCCTGAGTCTTGCATTAGCTCACGTGATTCCCTGTCTGTTTATCTTCTCAGCTAAGGGGAAATCCCAAAGTACTTTGTCACCATCACCGATAGGGAAGTCCCTTCCCATATGTCGCAGACGGTAGTTGTCCTTGAAGTGGCTTATACAGCTTTGTGCGAAAACCGTTCAGTTGTGCAATTTGCAGGAGCTTAATACTGATGGTGTGGGGTTGCCTAAACCTTCTGTTCAGGGTGCTATATCCATAATAAATGAGGGTGTGTGTTCGTGGAGCCGACAGTGGTCGCTTAATATTGGTTTCACTGTATGTCATACAGTCTCATCATAGGACTTTAATGAAGCAAAATGTGTTCCTCACTCCTTGTATTATAGCCATCTTGAGTGCCAGATGGTAGCTGGTGGTCAAGTAGATAGAATATTATTTTCTAAGGTGGTTCCATATGCTACACATTTGTAGCGGAGATTGTTATAACTAGACAAAAACATTTTACCATCAATTAACACATATTTCGACCATGTAATTTTTGTGAATGTGGTCCATGTCACCTTTTCCTTATGAAAACATCACTCTACGTAACTTACACTACTTCCTACGTATTTGTATGTTGTAGGTATCAGTTCAAATGGACGAGATCTCACTGTGGATTTTCCCCAACAAAATAGTTGGACAGGTGTTGTAGCCGAAATGGAAGTAGTTCCTTGTTGTCATGTTGGCATTACATGTGATGGATGTCATGCTACCCCAGTAACAGGACCACGATTTAAGTGTAAAACTTGTGATGATTTTAATTATTGTGAGCACTGTTTCTATACCAAACGCTTACATCGACATCCATTCAATAGACTTGCAGAACCTGGTAAGTGATTTTGTTTTGTAAAATTAATTATTTTATTCATTCCATTTCTTTTATATGACAAGCATTGTTTATTTCTTAATGGATTATAACTCCTTGACAATTACTATTCTAAGTTGTTTGCAACACAATATTTCTGTACAATACATTCAGAGGTATTGCAATTGTCATTGTGAGAAAAAATTCAATTGTTTGTAAAAATTACTTTCACTTGAAGATGAATTTGTTGTTTTTTATAGGCAGTGCAGCTGTATATGCAGGGAAACCTGGCCGCTATTTCCGACAAGAAGGTAGCAGTAGTTCCGCTAGTTCTGGTCCTGTGGGACTCCTTGAAGACTGGAGTCGCTGCATAAAAACTCTGAATGTATCATCTCGGGAAACATGGGCTCATCACCTAGTAGATGGCTCTCCTAGCTACTGGCAGAGTAGTGGAGCTCAGGTTAGTTGTCGTGAAGGATTGTTTTTCCTTTCAAATCAAATAATGTTTGTAGAAGAAAATTGAAAGACAGTATTAGACTGCACTTCAGTTCTATGCATAATGTTATGTGAATGATTTTGTTTCCTAGGGCAAACATTGGATTCGTCTAGAAATGCAGCCGGGTGTATTAATTCATGCCCTACGCATGGTTGTGGATCCATCTGACTCTAGCTATATGCCATCTTTAGTGGTAGTGAGTGGTGGTGACTCATTCACGAATATGAGAGAGTTGGCCAGTGTATCTATTCGGTCCTGTGATAGTGTTGTGACACTTTTATCGGATTTCAAAGAGGTGAGCTAAAAGTTTATTGTGTTTAAAAAATAAAATCACCATGGTGCAGTTTAATGTAAAGTTCAAACACTTTTTACAGTAATTATTTGATTAGCATATGTAGCTTATGCAGTATTTTAAAATGATTAACATTGTAGAATAATAGAACTATATTGTCGATTTTTATACATCATGATGAAATTATGCTTACATGTTCAGAAAGATTCTCAGATATAGGGGTGAGTCACTTCAAATAAGAAAAACTATCAGCACCGTCTTTTCCTTGATTAGACCAACAAATGTTTCCCATGTTGTTTTGCTGAGAAATGCTTTGTTTATGCGCAGCTGTTTTTGATGATTTCTCTTCAATAAAGTCTAGACGGTTGTACTTAAAAAGAGTTGAAGATGTAAGGATAGCCGAGCGTGTTGCGGGGGAAAAATCTACTCTTTCGGGTACAAACGAAGAAAGACGCAAATTTGTGAGAAAATGAGGGAAATGGGGAGGGGGGTGGAATGACGACAGCCGTGTACCGAGCGTGAGGACCTTGCTTCGCGAGGCGGGCGGGCGTCGGAAATGCAGTGCGCTCGCTGTGTCCTTCGGAGGGGGAATTGTGTGCATTGTGGTTGTGCAGTTCCTGTCGTGCGTGGAGATGGCGGTGCGGCAGTGCCGCAACGGCGGCATCGACTGCAAGGTGCACGCGCTGGCAGAATCGTGGTCGCGCGCGGACGGGCGCGGCGGCGCGGCTGGGCACACGGGCTGCTTCGCCGCGCTCTCCTTCCTCGCGTCCGACAGCGAGGAGCTGGCGACGGAGCAGCCCGCGCCCCGCGCGCCGCGCCCCTCGCCCTCGCCCACGCGCACGCCCACGCGCGACGCCCCGCTGCGCCCGCGCGCGCCCGCGCCCCGCCACCGCGACATGTGGCGACGCCGCGCGCCCCCGCGCCCGCGCCCCCCGAGCCCTCCACCAAGGTGCTGGTGTGGGGGCTCAACGACAAGGACCAGCTGGGCGGGCTCAAGGGCTCCAAGGTGAAGCTGCCCATCTTCTCGGACTCGCTCAGCGCCCTGCGGCCCCTGCACATCGCCGGCGGATCCAAGTCGCTCTTCATCGTCTCCATGGACGGCAAGGTGCGTGCCAACAGCGGACTCCACACCATTGTAATGCCGACTCTGTATGAAAACGTTTGATCCTTACTCCGTCAAACTTTTTCCTTCTCAGTCTTCAGAATTAACTCCATCTGGCTTACAAATATCTAGAGCCAAGCCCTTCAGTTCTTGTCCTCTCTGTATTATTACATTTTATTTTTGTTTTGTTTTCTGTTTCCTTTTGAGTTTTCTGTAGAAAATTACACAAACTAAATTTCTTTTTTTGTTTTGTTTTGTGTTAGTTGTTCGCATGTGGTGAGGGGACAAACGGTCGCCTGGGACTAGGCCACAGTTCCAATGTCTCCTCTCCACGCCTCGTCTCAGGCCTGGCACAGTTCGTTGTCAAGAAGGTGGCTGTGCACTCAGGAGGGAAACATGCTATGGCTCTCACCCTGGATGGCAAAGTGAGTATTTCATGTCATTAAGATTGTAATCAGGAACTTAGTAATTCAAAGCATGAGCGAGCAAAGCACAAATCACAGAGGGGGTGTAATTTTCCTGGGGTCCCTTTGATCACTTCTTTTTTTTATAAAATGAATTTTTAGGATGAATACAAGGGATAGTCTCTGTCTTGGACAATTTTTTTGGGGTAGTTTTGATTGCTTTTCAGCATTTTTGTTTGTTTGGCTGATCTTCATTTTTTCCTATACGTACACAAACATAACATACTTATGTAGAAAAAGTTATGTTTTTCTGTGGAAAATCGATTTCTAGATTTCAGCAGCAATAGATTTTGTAGTTCCCTGATGCTGAAAAGTATTGTTTATTTTCAAAACATGTCTGTCCCTAAACAACACTTGTGTCTAAATTTGGTAGTTTTTCCCAAAACTTATATTCTTCATTCGATTTAGCCCGACTTGAAGCTCCCTGATTTTCACTATTCCCTCTAAGTTTTTGAAAATTACAAAGGATTGAATTTTTTCGAAGTGTTCTTACAACTACAAAATTAGTATTTCAACCAACCAAGATAGAGATTGATCCTTCAAGAACAATGTTTTTATCCTTAGCTTTTCATTAAAGCCATGTACAGATTTTGAAAATTTTAGTAATTTTGCATGAAATATCTGCAGTATTAAAAAATAAGGTAAACAAGATTTTCTACAAAAACAGCTCCAAATTTTTTCTTTAAAGTTTTGGTAGGAGTAATGCTACTCTGAAGTGACAAACGCCATTTTGCTATATTCTTTTGTTTTAAAAAGATTTCAAGAATGTAATTTTGCTCAAATGCTATTTTCTTGGGAAGACGCCAAATGTTTTTTCGTTTGTGTGTGTGTGTGTGTGCGGTTGTGGGCGTGCGTGTGTGTGCGGGTGTGTTATCGGGTGTGCGGGAGCTGGTGTGTGCGGGTGGGTGCGTGTGCTGGAGCGGGTGTGTGCGTGAGTGCGTGTGTAGGTGTGTGCGTGCGTCTGTGTATCGATACTGCAATATGTACTGAATAATATGAAATTAATGCTGTATTCTTATGATTTTATAAAAAAAGTCTAGTCAACGCTAGTCTACATTTTTTTCAATGCGTCGCAGGTGTTCTCGTGGGGCGAGGGCGACGACGGGAAGCTGGGCCACGGCAACCGCCTGACGCTGGAGAAGCCGCGCCTGCTGCGCCGCCTCAAGGCGAAGCGCGTGCGCGACATCGCGTGCGGCTCCTCGCACAGCGCCGCCATCACCTCGGCCGGCGAGCTGTACACGTGGGGGCTGGGCGAGTACGGCCGCCTGGGCCACGGCGACAACGCCACGCAGCTGCGCCCCAGGCTCGTCAAGGCGCTGCTCGGCCACCGCGTCGTCCAGGTGCGGCCCCGCCCCGCCCCCTCCGCCAATTCCTCTCTGCTTGCGGTTCAAAAACTTCTTTTATGATGTGAACTTCTGGTTGTAGGTGGCCTGTGGAAGTCGAGATGCCCAAACGTTGGCTCTGACCGACGAAGGACTTGTTTTCTCGTGGGGCGATGGAGATTTTGGCAAATTGGGTCGGGGTGGCAGTGAGGGCTGCAATGTTCCCAGGAGCATTGAGCGCCTGAGCAATCTTGGTGTGACACAGATTGAATGCGGTGCCCAATTTTCGTTGGCTCTTACAAAGCACGGACAAGTAGGTGGAAACATGCATTTTCTAATTTGTGTTTGACTTTTAAATTTTATAAATGGTGAGCAGTAAATTAGTCAAACTGCCACGAAGTTCCACACATTGATAATATGAATATATTTAGGTATGGACCTGGGGGAAAGGTGACTACTACCGATTAGGTCACGGCACCGATCAGCACGTACGGAAACCCACTCTTGTTGAGGGATTGAGAGGACGGCGTGTAGTTCACGTGGCAGTAGGTGCTTTACATTGTCTGGCAGTAACAGATCAGGGACAAGTGTTTGCGTGGGGAGATAATGACCATGGACAGCAAGGCAACGGAACAACTGTGGTTAATCGCAAACCTGCACTTGTTCATGGGCTAGAAGACGTGAGAGTCAATCGTGTTGCATGTGGCTCCTCACATTCTGTAGCATGGAGTGCCTTTGACATGCAGGTGAGTACAAATCCATTCATTTTCATTTTAACGGCTTTAAACTTTGATGTCGGAAAGAATTTTCATGAATCGGTTTTTTCCCCTTGTACTGAGTATCCTAATTTGAGTATTTGATGAATAGTATCAACAATCAGTTGATTCCAAAAGAAATTAGGTTCAAATTTTTAGGAATGCACTCCTTCAAATCATTCAAAAAAGGTGAATGGTAAGTGCAAATGCAAAACCGCTGAAATTCATAGAAGTTCCAACCTGCAAATTATTTATTTATTGTGAGAAAAATGGGAGTGACACTTACTCATAAATAATTCTTTATTGTAACGAATTACACAGGTACACACAAAAAAGTTACCAGAATCAAAGGACACAAGTTTCTCGGTGTATGTCGACTGGACAGAGGCGCAATTCTGGCTTTGGTTTTAGCAAGTTGACATACATAGTGAAACAAGTGTCAAAGTCTTTGGGATAAATTTAACTGTTATCATGATATTGTATATTAATCTCTAAAACAACATTCAAGATGTAGAATTATTTATCTTGAAGAAATAAGTCACTGCTACATACCTTCATCTTTTAGTTTCTTTCATATGGCATGTATCATGAATATCATCCACAAAGCATTGAGAAGTTCATCAGTATTACTAATAATATTGCAATGTTGTGAGAGTAACAAACATTAAAAATAATTTTTAATACTTAACAGCATTCTTAATGTGCTTGATTGGGCCTCAACATGCATAGGAAACGATCATTTCTTGCTCCATAGGTGCCCAATATGCATGAACCTGTGCTGTTTGTCGCCTCCGCAGACCCCCTGGGGGCCAGTGCTCTAGGTCTTCTGGGCACAGATGAAAAAACTGCGTCAGTGGCAGCAGCAACGGGCGGTACAGGGCTCAATGGTAGTGCAGGTGCCAGCCGCGGGGGACCACCCCCTGTGTCCTTGTCACGAATGTTGCTCTCTTTGGAAACTCCAGCAGCTCAACAGCGTGCCCTGCAACATGTCCTAAGTGCCTTGCAAGTCCTTCAAGCACGTGAGGCTGTTGTGGCTGCATTGTCCTCACACACTAGTGTGCCAGGGCTCACTAAGCCAGGTCAGTGCCTGAATTCATGTAAATATATTCTTGTGTAGTTTCTAGAGGCATGAACTGAGTAGCTTAACATGGATATATGAATATACCCATGTTCAGGACGGGTATAATTACATGTGGGTTCGGAGAGCGAACGCATGTGTAAACCTGTTTGAATTGCCGCGCACTGTTGGGCGAGTTCTAGACGGCGTTGTCGACTAACCGGAGGGATAGGGGAGGTAGCACTTACGTCAGCGAGGAGGAAGAGGAAGGAGTGCCCAGAGGGTGGTACGAAAGAGACTCCTTATCTGGGTAGCGGTGTGGAAAGGTGGTGCTGATCTAGGCAGAAAGTATTGGACTAGTGATTTGTTCTGTACAGAGAACGTGCGAATGATCCTTAGTTATACGTATTCGTCGTACAGCAATTTAGATTGTTATAAAAAGCAGTATTTGAATATGCAGTAGTTTGAATGAACTGTGATGAAGTTCATAATACGCTGAAGAATTCCGAGTTTTTCGAAGTGAAATATGAGAACATTTAGCGAGGCAGTTATGACCAGGTATTTGTATGAGAAGAACTTTCGATAAAACTGCTCTTGTAAGCGACCTGTATTTCAGTTATAAGCGCATGAACGTATTCAAATTCACGAAAGCCCAAATCGTGATAAAAGCGCATAAGAAGAGTGTTGGTGCTATTGGACGAGTCTGAGCAGACGGAGACCGGAAGAGTACGTGGTAACAAAAGGATGACGAGAGAGCGCGCGGAGCGTGCTGAAAGCGACGCAAGAGGGTTCGTGGTGGCCCGGGGTTGAACCGTGCCCCTCGCGTACAGCAGCGGCGTATTTGGCGAAGGCGCGAGCGCGCACGACCTTCGCAGCAGTCCCAGTGGCCGGCTCGCGAAGACGGCGGTCGTTGAGTATTACAACTCTTTGTTCTGGGCGCAGAGAGGGAAACTGTAAAACGACATTTTATATCCTCAAAGTTAGTAACGAGAACTAGGAAGGGAAATAACGTACAAAATATTCGTTGCAATTGAATAACCTTTCCAAATTCGAAACCACGATGCAAGAGAAAATACAATCAATGGTTGAATTTTAACAATACATAATGTTCTGCTTTGAAATTGAGTAGTTTTAATTGTAAAATTAGAATAAGGATTCTTTGGACAGGAAATGTGTTGAACTTTATGTTGAACTAAGCAATATGCATTGTAAATAATTTATTAAAAGTGTTGAGTAAAATTTAATGTAAAATTCTAGTGTAAATTCAAATTACAAGGTATTGCTAAACGAATTTGCATATAGGATCTCATTGCAGAAGTCTTGGAAACAATTTTTTATGGTATAATTTTCAGAAGGTAGTTAAAATGACCGACTCTGTAAATGTCAAGTGTTATTTATTTGCTTTCTATTCTTTCGAGGATTCAATAAATCTCCAGAATTTTGCAATTGTTTCTTCACATGCGATCACTAAGCAACTTTTCTGCCTGCCAAGATCCCTGCGCCTTTCAGGTTCATCAAATAATGGTACCTTCTTTCCATGCTCTGGAATGAATATGGGGCTCCGAATTCATAAAAGAAAGCAGTTATTTGCGAGAAATGCATGAAATGGATTTTGATTGTGCAGGTAGCTCACTGGAAGTTCGGACCCCTGACAGTCCAGGAGATGGCTGCAGCCGTGCGTCCCCAGCTGCTGCGCTCTTTGATGAGGCAGCTGAAATTGCTCAAGGCGGTGGTGAAGCCCCTGCGTGTGTCCTTGAAGCTGTCAGCTTTGTAAGTAATTAACATTTGGAAAGACGTGTTGAAAGTTGTGTTTGGTACATTATTACTATAAAATTTCGTTTTAAAAAATATTTGCATTTAGGTTTGACAATTTACCATAAAAAAGAGTAATTGTATTCCACAGGAGAATCGTTATAATAGTATAATTTTCTGTCTTTATTTCGCCGCAAAGTTAGACAAATCGGAAAGGTGTGTATTTAATGGCCCATCCTTCCAGTAAGGTATTTTTATTCTTGAGATCGTCGTTTAAGATACGATGATAACCGATCTTGAGCAATACCAATAATTCCTTATGAAATAAAATGTTATGATCAACGACATCGAAAGGTTTTGAAAGACCTTAAAGTATTGCAATATGTGCTTCTTTTTGATCCGTAGATAAAGCGGACTCTTTAAGAAAAGAAAGTATGACTGTTTTCGTAGACTTAGGTTTTGTACATAAATGTTCGCCGTCTGAAAACGTTTCGTATGTACTGAGAAATGTTTTCATCCGTTCGTTTAAAAAGTCCGAATTTTTATAAATTCTGACAAAAGGGGAAAATGGCCGATAATTTTAAATTTTATTTTTGTTGCCTGTTTTCAAGAGCAGAGGTGCTTTTGCTAGGCGATGAGAGCCAAGTTCTCCGTTTTGAAAGAAATACGTCATAGACACTTTCGTAAGAGTTGCCTACATTACTTTGTAGTAGTTGTACAAAGCAAAACCGAGTGAAATTTGGTGGACGTTTTTTGGCTATTTAATTGCTAATTAACTACCATAAAATTAATTTAATTGCCATTTATTTTTTAAAACGCAGTGTTTTTTCAGCTTGTTATCAAGGTAGCTAGGCCAACTACAAAGTAGTAGGAGTTCGCGAAAATTTATGAGTAAATACTCTTAGGAAGCGAGCATGTTTCATGCCGCCCCAGTGCTTTGTTTGCGCTGCAGCACCCCGTTGTTCGTGTGGTGATCGAGCGTGTCGTTGCAGAGCTCCCCGACGACGCCCGAGTCGGAGCAGAGCCCGCTGGCGGCGCTGCCGTCGCTGTCGGCGTCGCTGTCGTCGCGCCTGTCGGCGAGCGCGATGAGCGTGATCGCGGCGACGGCCACGTCGCGGGCGCACGTGGTGGGGTGCGCGGCGGAGGAGGACGCGGAGGCCGAGGCGGAGGCGCGGCCGGGGGCCACGGCCGCGCCCGACGACTTCGCCGCGCTGCTCGGCGCCGACGACGCGCGCGCCCTCGTCGACCTGCTCAAGCTGGCGGTGGCCGGGCGCGCGGGCCCCGGCCCGTCCCCGGGCGCCGGCGCCAAGCACACCGTCGCCGGCGTGCTGCTCGGTGAGCCACCCCGCCGCCGGCGCTCGCAGCGCAGCCGGGTCTGCGTTTCAGTGTGAGATGTGCAACGTGTGTGTGCGCAGCGCTGGCGGGGGCGAGCGCGGCGGTGCGCGAGCTGCTGCTGGAGCTGTGCGTGACGGAGCTGGAGGACGTGGCGCTCAACACGCGCGCGCTGCGCCTGGCGCCGCAACCCGTCGTGCAGGAGAGCAGCCACCCCTACGCCGACGACGCCACGCTCACCGGACACGTCAAGATCCCAGGTGAGCCCCGCCACCTTACACCTCTGTCTCGTAGTGCTTCGGGCGGTTGGGAAGGGCGAGCACCGACGTTGGGCGCTCCGCAAAGAGCGAGCGGCCCCTCCGCGCCTCCGCGGTGGAGGGACCGGTCCGCTGCACTCGGAGGCGCTGAACGCGGTTAAGCCACGCTTTCACGGACCTTCTCCTGCGCGTTGTTTTACGCGTTTCAATAAAAGCCTGACGGCGGGAGCAGCGTTTCATGTACGGTCGCTTCGTTTAGCGCGCACCGAAAAGGTTGAGCTCGGGGGAGTGCGAAGCGAGCTGAGGGGGGCGGCGGGTGCGCTGCGCTGCGCAGGCGCCAAGGGGCTGCGCGTGGAGTTCGACCGCATGTGCTCGTCGGAGCGGCGCCACGACCCGCTGGTGCTGATGGACGGCGCGGGGCGCACGGTGGCGGTGCGGTCGGGGCGCGAGTGGGCCGAGTGGGCGCCCGAGCTGCGCGTGGCCGGAGACGAGCTGCGCTGGAAGTTCTCCAGCGACGGCTCCGTCAACGGCTGGGGCTGGCGCTTCACAGTGCACCCCATCGTGGCGGCCGCCGGACCGCACGAGCTGGGCTCCGACCGCGCCATCCTCTCGCAGCCCTCGGTGGAGCTCGTCACGTGCCTGCTGGAGCCGCGCCTCGTCGCGGCGGCCGAGCGCGCGCTGGTGGCGCGCCTGGCGGCCGCTCTCGCCGCCTGCGCGCAACTCTCTTCGCTCTGTAAGTAACCCGACAACAATGTTATTTAAACAACTTAAAACACATCCAAATAAATTAAAATTACCTAATAGAGCTTTTTAGGAAAAAAACTCTGACATTAAATGTGGTAGGTAGTTTTAATTTCTTTGGATGTGTTTGGTTGGTTCTTTGGATGTTTGGATCTGGTTGGAAAAGAAGCAATTAACCCACAAGAGTTCCGGTAAATTACGTGTTATTGCCCCCCTCCCCCCCCTAAATCCTTTTGAAAACGAGAAATATATCATATTGTAATGAAGTGTTTATAGTGAACAATTTTCTCTTGATATTTGGCTTCTGAACTTCTGATAGGTAAGAACCATTTCGTTCCTCGCGAATAAAGAATTAATTTTTTCTCTGAAATGTTGCCCCTATCGTAATTTCTTTGCAATTCCGTCCGCTGGGTGGAGACGGAGGAGAGCGTCCGAGTTCATTACATCAATGTCAGGCTTTTATCGCATAGGGCTCTTTGGCACTTGCGTACATCAGTAACAGTTATGTTGATTATAAAAAAGTTTCAAAATATAATTCACAAGCAGTCGTTCTTTTTATGACTACTCTGAAATGGTTAGTGAATTAAAAGTTCTAGAAAACTTGCGTACATAGTGTTTGACGACTCAATGATGCACACGAACTCCACATAAAATGTCTTACTAATACGAATAATAAAAGACAGATAATAGCAATGCTGATTACAAAGTTTTTATGAACATGAATAACATGCAAACAAGCGAAGGAAGTCGCAGACACCCGATAATGAATACAGCTCATTATGGAATGGCGTAAGATCTCTGCTGCAACGACGGAACACAGCTTTTTCCTTAGTTCCTACAAATAAGACTGAGGAGAATGTAATAAATCTGTTGGTGATATTGAGAGCTCTCTCTGCAAGCAAGCAAATGTGTCCTATTTGAAACCTAAGAAAGACTTTCTTTACTTTTCCCATTGTAAGTGAAACTGTTACCAAAAACTTTCTCTTACCTGCAATGAGTGTTTGCGAAAGCACCTGTATTCGGTATTGGTAAAAGCGAGGGAATATAAATTTCTGACCGGCCGAGAACTCTAATCGTGTCAATTCTATAAAATTATTCAAAAACTACAACGCCACTAAGGAGATGGTTGCTGATATTAGTGATATTTTTCTGATTCCACTATTCGGCTGCAATGGGAAGAATGGTTCTGAAAATGATCTGAAAGACATTACGAGCTAGAACAGGACAAGATGAAGCCGTTCAATCTGACGAACAAATGAAACAAAGCCTAGTTATTCTACCAGATATGAGGTAATAATTAGAAACAATATAATATACGAGAGTGATGGTATATAAAGACCCACTAAAACTATTATGTAGCAAGTGTCTATGGAAACCAGGGCCTTTCAAAACCTAAGCTTCGGTGAAGATGCAGTCCATAGTCGTCCAAAATATTGTTTTTCTTTTTCACAACATGAACTACCTACATTTCTTTTTTCATTTAAAATGTAAAATGTATCATGTATTACATAAGAGTTAGTGAATGAGAGTGCCATTTTCACATCATCCAGGCATAATTTGCACACTGTCGGCGATACCATTGATCCAAAAAAATATTGAATAAAAAAATGTAAGCAATTTTATCTTCCATTTCATGGTGGGTTAGCGTTTACGAAAAACGGATAGTTTTTAAGTTATTTTGAGTTAAAATGATCCAGTTTTTGATGAATTTTGCTTAGATCACCAAATTTTGCGGTGCTCTTGTTGATAGACCTTGTATTGAAGAAAAAAGCTTAATGACATAAAATGTAGATAATTGTAGCTTCTTTAATTTCACTTAGTACCGTTATTTACGAAAAATTAAGTTTTTTTAGTTTTTTTAAATAAAAAAGGCGGGATTTTTCCTTTTTTCTCTTTCTTAAAAAACGTGTTTTCAGGCAACTCTCTTGTTGGGAAACCTGATATTCGTGTTCAAGTACCCAAAAAACCTACCAATTTTCAGAACTATACCATAACTTTCCCTTATTTTCTGACATTTGTCTGGTTTATAAAAACGTAATATTGTTAGAGGAGCTTTTTAATGTAAGCAAAATTTAATAGAAAAAATCGTCTTTAAATTGGCAAAACCTCGTATCTTAAAAAAGACGATTTTCATATAGTGCATGTTCCCTGACGTCAAGTAAAATATTCTGCGCAGGATGCAAAACATATTTGGCCTAGATCTCTTTGGAAGTGAATAATCAGAATCTCATATTTTATGACTGTCAATCGCATAACAAACTTTCTCCTACTTCCTAAAATTGTTTTGTTTAAGGTATGTGGCTTTACCATCCAATTCAATTCATTTCGTTTCAATGATGCCTTATTTTACGTGGCAAGGCTCAAGCCATCAGGCCTGCTCTTCCGCCTGAGCATGCAAATTTCATTACACCTCATTCACAATCTATCGAAGAATGAAGGTATCACTCTGGTGACGAAACAGGCAATTTTAATTTTGTTTAGAGGCCGATGTTTTGTGCTCGATGTTTTTCACGCTTTCTATGATTTGTTTGTGAAAGAGAAAGTTCCGTAATCAGAAGAATTAAAGCATAAGCTCGTGCGTCCGGAATCAGTATCAATTTCGCTCTCCGGGAGATGCCGCGTCCTTGGCAAAGTTGCCAATGTACTACGATTTTCGTCAGTACGGAGCTAGAACGCGCACGAGCTTAATCAGAGTGTCCGGAGAAAACGTCGAAACTTCGAAAATAAGCTTTTAAGACAAATTTAAACATATTTTATCTATAAACTCCTTGGATGTTCCGAATAGCTGAGTCGCAATAAGAACTCAAAAGTAATTTGAAAAAATACTTTCTCTGCAAAACTTTGTATTGTAGAAGTGTATAAACACTCCAGAAACATGTAAATTGTTTATTATTTACAATATAAATGAATATATTTGTTCAGAAAAAAATTAACACAGAAATTTAAAAAAAGGAGTAATTGTATAAATTGCGTGCCTCTTTAATTCTGTGATAATTTTTCTTTCTGAACAAATATGTTTATTTCTTTTGTAAATAATGAACAATTTACATGTTTCTGGAGTGTTTCTTCGCAAATTTTTGCGTAGAAAGTATTTTTCAAATTGCTGTTCAACTATTCGGGATATCCAAGGAGTTTAATAATCAAAATGTTTAAAATTGTCTTAAGAGCTTATTTTCGAGGTTACGACGTTTCCTCCCAGGACATTCTGTAAACACACGGACGTTCTCCTCTACCCGCTGGCTTATCGACCAGGACTGAGACAGCATCGACCAGAGGCAACGGGCTCCCTGGGGGAAGTGGCAGAAGGGGACCGCCCGTGTATGTCAGGGGCAGCGGAACCACACTCTGACGCGACTGGTCATCGCGGTAAAATTCGTAGATATTTCCAAAGCGTCGTGGAAACGCAGGCCTTAAGGGTTTATGGATGATTGATGATTTCTATCGCCTCTTCTAAACCCCTCGGTCCCCAACCTAGTCAGGATGTTGTTAAAACTGACATACGGGCTGTACGAGATTGTCTCCAACTGCAGCCACAGTTACATAGGCGACGCGGGGCGAACCATTAAGGAACGCCTTTGGGGAACACTTCCAGTATTACAAGTATAAATAAATCGACCACGCAAGGAAAATCCGCCCTGCCGCTGATTTTGACGACACTTGCCTACTGATCAGGGAAGATTGCTGGGGACTGAAAAGGGTAAAAGAGGCTGTGAAAATCCCACCCGGATCAGGAGTCCGTTGCCTGATTGGTCGATGCTTCCTCCGCATTGACCATTCGTCCGGCCGGCGGGAGGATGGAGAGGGACATCGTTCTATTGAAACCCGTTCACTGCCCACCCCCGAGCATTTCGCTCTGAGGAAGGTGACAGTATGAAGGCAGAAACATTAGCAACTTTGCCCAGGTCGCGGCGTCTCCCGAACAGCCAAGTTTCTATCCTTAAGCACAATTCTTCAGATGTTAAAATGTGAAATAATAACTGATGATTTCACTGTCAGTTCATGTGTTCGAACGAAGCGAACACTTACTGCCTTCGTCGAGGAGACTATCACTCTCCCGGGAGGTGATCCCGATTGCCTTGATATTTCATACATTTCTGGAGTTTTGCACGCGGAGAGTTGAGGAAGCTCTGTCCCCTGAGCGCTCGGGGTGTTGTCATCG